CTATGGTAAACAGTAAATTGTACAGTGTTACATAGTGTTGATTTTTCAGTGTAACATTTCTAGTGTTGATTCAGGAGTTAAATGAACTCTGCAAACACTCAGTGGTGTACAATAACCCCAGTGTTGGTATTAATAACAAGAGTCAAAACCATGGCCATAATTATCATATTTCCCAGCATGCTCTATTGCAGGTTGATTTTCAGAATTGTTTGTTTCAATATCTGTGTTTTTGCATGTATATTGATTGGTTGATTAATGTTATTCTACAATATAAATAACATTTTTCTAAACTAATCTAATCTGTTAGCAGTTGGATTTATTGCAACCATTACTGAAATGGTTGTTCCAATTTAGATGATTTAGGTAGTCTCAGTATTCAGTTTTCCCTACCATGGCAGTTATTCTGAATGCAGGTTGCAGGTGATTAAACATTCCAATTGTTGGACATCCTCAATCTAGTTGGACTCCAATAGGAATTATACATCACCTTGCAAGCCAGCATAATGTGACTTGCAGGCCTGATTAGGCCTGTAAACCAGAAGTTTCTGACCACTGTGTTAGGGTATAACTAGGCCTTGAAAGAAAGGCCTTATGATATACACTGAGTATACCAAACATTAGGAACTGTTGAGCTTGAAAAACCCAGCAGCGTTGCAGTTCTTGACACAAACAATACCCGGTTCAAAGGCACTTAAATGTTTTGTCTTGCCCATTCACCCTCTGAATGGCACACATACACAATCCATGTCTCAAGACTTAAAAATCCTTCTTTAACCTGTCTCCTCCCCTTCATCAACACTGATTTAAATGGATTTAACAAGTGATATCAATAAGGGATCATAGCTTCCACCTGGATTCACCTGGTCAGTCTGTCATGGAAAGAGCAGGTGTTCTTAATGTTTTGTACACTCAGTGTATGTACGCGACGCGAACTGGCTGAGTCAATTCAGTGGCTAGCTTTGCACTTGGCTAGCTAACAGTAGCTGCTAGGGGTAAGTCATAACCTACATTTCTGTTTGTTTTTACATATTGGTAGCCAGAGTCGTTCAAGGAATTTGGGACATGGGTGACTAGTTAACGTTAGCTTGGCTCTCTCTGTGTGTTCGTGCCGTGAAAGGAGGGGTTTATTCTTTGTCTGAAAGCAATGGCTAGCTAGTATGCTAACTATTCTAGCTAACTAACTGACTGAATAAGTTGACGACGGACTCGCTCAAGCTGTCGGAACTAACCCACAACGTTAGACACGGACACGAACAATCTGCTTGGCGTGTTGACACACTGGTGGTTTGTTGTGGCCGAGTATTGGTACTAAACCGTGTTGTTGGAGTCCGGCATGCTAGCTGGCTGTGGCGTCTTATGACTAGGTGCCCTGGACGATTTTCACGGAAGAATACTGTACCAAGTTAGCTAGTTGAATAAACTAAGTTAGTCTATTCCTAGAAAACATTGAACCGCTGTAGTTTACAACAATTATAGTTTCTGAGGTGGAAGTGGGAGAGTTATATTTGGGTGTTGTGGTGAGGGAGGCCCCGCTCTCTCCTTTCCCAGATGTTTAGTTCATTTCATTCCGATCTCCTTTGCATTATTGTAGCCATTTTCTGCAGCCTGTCAACTATGCCTCTGTCTATCCTTGTTCTCTCCTCTCCGCACAGGCTATACAAACGTCTCACACCGTGTGGCTGCTGCCTCTCTAACCTGGTGGTCCCTGCACGCACAACCCACGTGGAGTTCCAGGTCTCAGGCAGCCTCTGGAACTGCCGTTCTGCTGCCAACAAGGCAGAGTTCATCTCAGCCTATGCTACCCTCCAGTCCCTCGACTTCTTGGCGCTGACGGAAACATGGATTACCACTGAAAACACTGCTACTCCTACTGCTCTCTGATCGTCTGACCATGTGTTCTCGCATACCCCGAGAGCATCTGGTCAGCGGGGTGGTGGCACAGGAATCCTCATCTCTCCCAAGTGGACATTCTCTATCTCCTCATTTGAATTCCATGCTGTCACAGTCACTAGCCCATTTAAGCTTAATATCCTTGTCATTTATCGCCCTCCAGGTTCCCTTGGAGAGTTCATCAATGACCTTGACGCCTTGATAAGTTCCTTTCCTGAGGATGGCTCCCCCCTCACAGTTTTTGGGGACTTCAACCTCCCTACATCTACCTTTGACTCATTTCTCTCTGCCTCCTTCTTTCCACTCCTCTCCTCTTTTGACCTCACCCTCTCACCCCCCCCCCCTACTCACAAGGCAGGCAATACGCTTGACCTCATCTTTACTAGATGCGGTTCTTCTACTAATCTCACTGCAACTCCCCTCCATGTCTCCGACCACTACTTTGTATCCTTTTCTCTCTCGCTCTCCTCCAACACTACTCACTCTGCCCCTACTCAGATGGTAATGCGCCATCGCAACCTTCGCTCTCTCTCTCCCGCTACTCTCTCCTCTTCCATCCTATCATCTCTTCCCTCTGCTCAATCCTTCTCCCTCCAATCTCCTGATTCTGCCTCCTCAACCCTCCTCTCCTCCCTTTCTGCATCCTTTGACTCTCTATGTCCCTTATCCTCCCGGCCGGCTCGGTCCTCCCCTCCAGCTCCGTGGCTTGATGACTCATTGCGAGCTCACAGGCTCCGGGCAGCTGAGCGGAAATGGAGGAAAACTAGACTCCCTGCGGACCTGGCATCTTTTCACTCTCTACATTTTCTTCATCTGTTTCTGCTGCTAAGGCCACTTTCTACCACTCTAAATTCCAAGCATCTGCCTCTAACCCTAGGAAGCTCTTTGCCACCTTCTCCTCCCTGCTGAATCCTCCTCCCCCTCCCACCCCTCCTCCCTCTCTGTGGGTGACTTCGTCAACCATTTTGAAAAGAAGGTTGACGACATCCGTTCCTCGTTTGTTAAGTCAAATGACACTGCTGGTCCTGCTCACACTGCCCTACCCTATGCTTTGACTTCTTTCTCCCCTCTCTCTCCAGATAAAATCTTGCAACCTGCCAGCTTGACCCTATCCCCTCCTCTCTTCTCCAGACCATCTCCGGTGACCTTCTCCCTTACCTCACCTCGCTGATCAACTCATCCTTGACCGCTGGCTATGTCCCTTCTGTCTTCAAGAGAGCGAGAGTTGCACCCCTTCTCAAAAAACCAACACTCGATCCCTCTGATCAGTATCCCTTCTGACCAGTATCCCTTCTTTCTTTTCTCTCCAAAACTATTGAGCGTGCCGTCTTTAGCCAACTCTCTTGCTATCTCTCTCAGAATGACCTTCTTGATCCAAACTAGTCAGGTTTCAAGACTGGTCATTCAACTGAGACTGCTCTTCTCTGTGTCACGGAGGCTCTCCGCACTGCTAAAGCTAACTCTCTCTCCTCTGCTCTTGTCCTTCTAGACCTGTCTGCTGCCTTTGATACTGTGAACCATTAGATCCTCCTCTCCACCCTCTCCGAGCTGGGCATCTCCGGCGCGGCTCACTCTTGGATTGCGTCCTACCTGACCGGTCGCTCCTACCAAGTGGCGTGGCGAGAAGCTGTCTCCGCACCACGTGCTCTCACCACTGGTGTCGGCCATGGCTCAGTTCTAGGCCCTCTCCTATTCTCGCTATACACCAAGTCACTTGGCTCTGTCATATCCTCACATGGCCTCTCCTATCATTGCTACGCAGACGACACACAACTAATCTTCTCCTTTCCCCCTTCTGATAACCAGGTGGCGAATCGCATCTCTGCATGTCTGGCAGACATATCCGTATGGATGACGGATCACCACCTCAAGCTGAACCTTGGCAAGCGGAGCTGCTCTTCCTCCCGGGGAAGGACTGCCCGTTCCATGATCTCGCCATCACGGTTGACAACTCTGTTGTGTCCTCCTCCCAGAGTGTGAAGAGCCTTGGCGTGACCCTGGACAACACCCTGTTGTTCTCCGCTAACATCAAGGCGGTGACCCGATCCTGTAGGTTCATGCTCTACAACATTCGGAGAGTACGACCCTGCCTTACACAGGAAGCGGCACAGGTCCTAATCAAGGCACTTGTCATCTCCCGTCTGGATTACTGCAACTCGCTGTTGGCTGGGCTCCCTGCCTGTTCCATTAAACCCCTACAACTCATCCAGAATGCCGCAGCCCGTCTGGTGTTCAACCTTCCCAAGTTCTCTCACGTCACCCCGCTTCTCCGCACACTCCACTGGCTTCCAGTTGAAGCTCGCATCTGCTACAAGACCATGGTGCTTGCCTACAGAGCTGTGAGGGGAACGGCACCTCCGTACCTTCAGGCTCTGATCAGTCCCTACACCCAAACGAGGGCACTGCGTTCATCCACCTCTGGCCTGCTGGCTCCCCTACCTCTGCGGAAGCACAGTTCCCGCTCAGCCCAGTCAAAACAGTTTGCTGCTCTGGCACCGCAATGGTGGAACAAGCTCCCTCACGACGCCAGGACAGCGGAGTCACTCACCACCTTCCGGAGACATTTGAAACCCCACCTCTTTAAGGAATACCTGGGATAGGATAAAGTAATCCTTCTACCCCCCCTTACCCCACCCACCCCCCCCCCCCCCCAAAACAAAAATAAAAAAATACATTGTAAAGTGGTTATCCCACTGGCTATAAGGTGAATGCACCAATTTGTAAGTCACTCTGGATAAGAGCGTCTGCTAAATGACGTAAATGTAAATGTAATGTATTGCCATAAAATATATGCAAATAAAGTTAGCTGAACCGTTCATGGAGGGTTCTAAGAAGAACCCTTCAAATATAATAAGGCTCTTGGTATAACTGTTCATAGAGGGTTCTAGAAAGAACCCTTCAAAGATAAAGTCTCTAGGAAGAACCCTTCATAGAAGGTTCTAGGTAGAACCTTCTGCAAAGGGTTCTACCTAGCACCAAAAAGGGTTCCCCTATTGGGACAAATTGAAAAACCCTATGGTTCTACTAAGCACCTTTTTTTTCTAAGAGTGTATGGTAGTATTTGTTGGCAATCCTGACATCCAGCTACTCACTGTCTTGTACTTGACAATGTACTCAACGATGGGCATGCCCCCGTCATCTTGCTTGACCAGGCCCAGCCGGTAGGCTTTGCCCATCCCTCTCTGGCCATGCACCGCCGGGGGGCTGGGCTCACGTATGGGTAGAGTCTGGAAGGACTCTGTGTGGCTGAACTCCCCCTGGCCCTTCCCATTGACTGCAGCCACTCGCACTTCGTAGGTGGTGTTGGGCTCTAGGCCTGTCAGCAGTACTATCACTGTAGGAGGAGAATCAGGGAGAGCATTTGTTAGCACGTTAGCATGTTGTTAGCTTGTTCGCAGACAGACAGAGAGGTAGAGCGATAGAGAGAGACATACAGATAGGCAGGCAGACAGACAAAAAGACACAGCAACAGAGACGGACGGAGAGACAGAGATGGAGAGACAGGTGGAGAGACAGACAGACAGTCAGACAGACAGAGGTTGAGAGAAGGGAAAAAGACAGACAGACAGAATAAGAGATACAAAGAAGCATAGAAAGTCAGAGAGGGATACAGACAAACACAGATTTTTTGACAAGTGGAGTGAAGGGGGTGGTCACCATCTACGCTAAAGCTAATCGCTAACAGCACCGCTAACACCACTATGCTAGTGCCACAAATCCCCTGTTCCTATCAGGACCACTCTCTTGTCAATACAGAGGGTGGGACGTACCATTGTGGAGTGCCACAGGGGGATCTGTGTGCCTAGATGTGTTGGGTGAGTAATCCACTGCAGCTGAGCTAGCTAGCATACCTCCTCCCTGCCTGCTTCCATTCATTGCCAGAGAGATAATACCGAAGGTAATGCTGTACACTGAGGCTCTAAGCCAATATGTGGGAGTGCTGTTTGTGTGGAAACAGTATGAAAGCAATAGTACTCCATTATTGATCCTCTGGGATCAGTAGCATCAGTAAAGCATCAACATCAATGTTCGGAGTAGAACAACATGTCACTGTAACCTCTTTGGAACTCTCAAACTCTACCGGAATACACTTTAAACTAGTGACTACCGATATACTATGTGCAACTTCACAGTGTGGAGTGAAATGATAAGCATCTGTCAATAACATTTTGAAAATTTTCAAATGTAATGATAGTCAATATCGGCCTAAAATATTGGCCATCGGGCTCCTTGACCCCCAGAAAATGGTATCGGCATCGCCCCTAAAAAATCCATATCGGTCATTCTCTAAAAAAGACATTTGATCATACAACCACTCCTAAAATAGCAATACATGAATCAGTAGAGCTTTATGAGATTTTCTCAGCAGTCAGCCCAAAATCATTGATTTCTATGTAAATTCGACAATAAAGTAATTTACATAGCTTTCATAGGTCGTCCTGCGGAAATCCCAAGTTAGGCATTAGCTGAACTTGGGTGAAGGTTGTTGTTTTGCAACTTGTGTTGCTGTAAAAGTGTGCTAAGGGTAATGGTTGCTTTGCAATTGTATAATGGGGGATCTAAATATGAAATGAGCTATTTGCTAAACTTGGGGCTCTACCAGGGGTTTGACGAGACCTTTAGTGAACGCCACTGGCATTCAGATGAACAAATTGTGCCAACTCATTATACACGGAGCAGTTTTATAGTGCAAATGTGCATCATTACTATAAGGCCCTGAAGTGGCTCCGAGGGCTAAATGTCAATTTGCAACTGGTAATTAGTTGATTTGGCTATCTCCATTAACATGCTCACCTCGAGACAAGGAAGGTGGTTAAACAGGTGGGGGTGGAACACAAGAACTAACACAAATTAAGAATTCTCACTGTACATATCTCTCGAATATCTCCCTCTCCCAAATTGCTCCCTTTCTCTCTAAAATCTTTCTTCCTTCTTTGCAAATCTTTCTTTTTGTTTTTCTCTCCATCTTCCTCATCTTTTCTCTTTTATTCTATCCTCTTTAACGCCCTCTGTCTTTCTTTCTGTTCCCATTGCCTGTATATATCACTTTGTTCTCTCTCTATCCCTCAGTGCTTCCACGCTGCTCAACATTCTCCGCATTCCATCTCACTATTGTAATTGACTCCAAAATGAGGGATATTAGCGATAAGCCCTTCAGGTTTGTCAGACCTGCTTATCGTCTGAGCATTCGTCCTTCTGAGTTCCTTTTTTTTTTTTGTCCTCCATCACGCACACACTCCCCTGAGTGCCTCCAAAATCAATATGGAGTCGTGGAGCCAGAGCGGAAAGGGAAATAGAAAGTTGCTTTTCAGCCCCCCCCCCCCCTCTCTCTCCCTCCCTCCCTTTCACAGGCTCTGTGACCCGAGCGTAGGAGGCCTGCTGATCTTGTGGAGGCTTGCCATGGAGCGACGGTTTTAAAGGATCGCCGCGCGGATCAAGTAGCAACGGTTTCCTGCTCACGCTTGTTTGGCTGGTTCACTGGTTCGATTTGTGTGTGTGAGGACGGGGACTAACGTGCAGAAACAAAGGTTCGTCAAGGATGAGGGGTCTTAGTCTGACTTAGGTGGGCAAGACGTTGCAGTGAAAGACCTAACCTTACTTAGTCCCAGAACACAGCAGCTTTTTTTTGTCTGAGTAAATGTAAGGAGTGTAAATGTGAGAAAACGTGAGGTGTGTCGCTATAGTGGAGATGGTCATCTAGAATGTCCGTACCATTGATGATGATGATGATGATGATGATGATGATAATGATAATGACGACAACGATGATTGATGATGATAAAGATGGTGTTGAAGATGAAGATGATTAAAATGATGTCCATTTTGATGTAGATGATGATGATGGGAATGAAAATAACAATGATGATGACATAATGACAGCGATAATGATCAGAATAGGGATAATGAAGACCAAAACAGGGGAAATAAGGGAACACACTCACTCTGGATGCCATGTGACTTGACGTCTCTCCAGTCCTGCGAGCCCACTTCCTTGTAGTTGACCAGGTAGTGGCCAATGGGTACGCCGCCATGTGAGTCGGGTTTCATGAATGTCACTGTGGCGATGCGCTGCGACACGGCCGACAAGCGCACCGAGTACGGGTTCGAGGGCACGTCTGGAAAAGAGCAGAGAAATAGGTGTCACACTCATAACCGTCCCCCATTGAAACACACATCCAAACATCAGTTCCGGTAACCCTTCAGAAACATTACATTGATGTCTCTATTTGTTCTGAAACATAATGTCGCTGGTGTGTCGTTATTGGCAAATCAAAACTCTCACACTTGATAAAAAGATGTAGCCATGGCAACTCGAGCTCATTGGGTTTTGCAATGCAGAATGCTTTGTGTTAACCCACACACAGTGTTCAGGCGTAGTTCAAAAAAGCCAAGGCCATTATATTTATCAGTGGTCGACTCAATCCCGTTATCACACAAACACTTCCCTTTTATCTGGTGGAGCCACGGGGCTTCGAGCAAATCAAAATAAAATGTTGCTGTCCTCTCTTTTATAAGACCAGGAATACATTAAGTAGAGAGAGGCCTTTCAGCACGGTTGCGGGGCTGTACATAATCGAGCACACACATGCCCACACATACACACACAAGCATAAACGCACGCACGTACACACTGATATGCAGCATGCACACACACATACTAGTATAAGTACACGCACACACACACTCACACACATAAACACACATGCAAGGCCATGTGCACACACACACACAAAGGGAAACCATCAACCATATGGATAAAAGCAAAGTTTGAGCTATGAAGGTCTGTGTACAAAGCCAGATTCAACAATTGATTCTGAAAACCCATCACATATCTTCTAAATAAGTCGTACACATCGCTAAAGTTGAATAGTTAGAATGTGTATCTAGCAACAAGTTATTATTTACACATAAACTGTATTTATTTCATTCTTTCTATCTCTGTTGAGATATGACACAAAGTTAGAGTGGGAAGTGGGACAAATTGATAGCACTGTGGGTATAGGCAGTTCAATCCTTCAGAGTCAAACCTTCACAGTCTTATATACACTGCATTTTTACTTGGCACAACCCCATGATATCTTGAGTAATACACCAGAGACCGTATTCACGATGCATCTCAGAGTAGGAGTGCTGATCTGATTTAGCCTTTTAAGTCATAATGAATAAGAGGGTGGACCTGATACTAGTTCAATACTCCTACTCTGAGACTCTTTGTGAATACAGGCCCAAATCTTCTTAACATCAGGGATAATACATGACTTTTCAACTATGATCTGCTATTCATAATATCATTCAAGTTACATAAAGAGTTGCATAAGCTGGTTAGCGCTGCGACACAGTTTCCATATGAATGAATTGATCATGAATCAAGTGTTAGCATTTAGCTGGGTAGTTGGCTGACAGGGTTGGCTCACAGTCTTCTATCTAGAGAAGTTTCCTCTCTCTTTAATGATCAGACTTTGAAGCCAAATCAAACTGATGGGCGGGAGAGTGTGTGTGTGTGTGTGTGTGTGTGTGAAGGACCCGTTGTTTCATTTAATAGATTCCCAAACCTCTGTTTTAGTCTTATGGTTTGTTATTCACAATGTGGCGACACTCCATTCATTTTGAGAGAGAGGGAAAGAGATCTGAATCTTAATTCAGCGACGCCTTGTTTACTTTTCTTTAGTGTGCGTGTCTGTGTGTGTGTGACAGAAGGAGAGTTTGTAAAGGTGTCTCTGTGTGTTTGAAGTGTGCGTTCCGACGTGTGTGTGTGTGTGTGTGTGTGTATGCGCAAATGCATACATATCTGGGTATGTGTGTGGAAGAATGTCTCTTAAAAAAATAGTAAGTCCTTTTTCTCAGTATTCTACTTCTAAGAGGCCCTGTGTTTGAAGTAATTGAATCTGCACTAAAGTGAATTGGACTGCGTTATTGTATATTAGCCTGCGCTATGCACCGTAAATTAGGGGGTACTTTAGTAAATAGGGGGAACTATGTTAAATCAGCGAGCACTATTTGAGATTAGGTTAGGCTAAATAGAGGTTGGGGGGTGGTTATGGGATTTACTGCCATGGAAATGGCAAATAAGGAGGTTATCAACAACAAAAAAGAGCAGGTGGGGTGCAAAACAGTTGGAAGATCCTATCTGGACTTCCAGTTGGGGTGGAGTTTTGTTGCTTTGGTCAGTAGTAGATTATATAATTGGTTGACTGGGGCTATATTTGGTCAATCATGCCACATGGATGATACACAGTTGGAACTATTTGGTTAATGGATGAACTTTGATATGTTGAGGTGCATGGTTTACCCGATTCCATGTGTATGATATCAAGGGAAAGTCCAATGTGCTATAATGAGGAGGGGGGGGGATTGGTTACTTTATGAGGCCAGCACTTACCTGCCTGGGCCAAGATGAACTCCTGGTATTTCGCTCCGATGTTGTTCCGGGCCGTGCAGTTGTAGCGTCCGAAATCCCTATCGGACACTGGGGTGACCTAGGGACAAACATTTGAGTGAGCACAGAGACCAGAGCTAAGTCAATATACTGACACTGGCATTACACTTAGTGAAGGCTTTGGGTAACACTATTTTAGCCAATATAAAGCATTGTTTCTTTCATTCAGGCCTTATTTTACCAGGTAAGTTGGCAAGGACCTAGGGAAGAGATGCAGAGGAGAGGAAATGAGTTGAATAGACCACTTGGAAGCTGGGGATGATAAGGTGGCCATGATTTTTATTTCTGAAGTTAGACTGTTACCGGTGAGTGCCCTGTTGCTTCCTATACCCACCTCTAGCAAGGACTTGCCGTCGGTCGTGTGGACGCGTGTGTTGGCAGTGCCCTCGGCCGAGATGGTGAGGCGTTCTCTCCTCCATAGCATGGTGGCGGGCGGGTTGGACTTGACGTCACAGCTGATGTTTACCGGGTTGCCCTCCCACGAGTAAAATATGGTTTGGTTGGTCTGGAACTTGGGCATGTCTATCCAAGACACAACATGATTGGTTGGTTAGCTTCCAAGTCATGCAAAACCAGCCAATTAAAAAACACCCAGAACATCTGAGATGATCCGTGTAGCTCAGTTGGTAGAGCATGGTGCTTGCAACGTCAGGGTTGTGGGTTCGTTTCCCACGGGGGGCCAGTATGAAAATGTATGCACTCACTAACTGTAAGTCGCTCTGGATAAGAGCGTCTGCTAAATGACTAAAATGTAATGATCAAAATCCAAAAAACTGATTGTTGGGCTTAAGTGTAATCGCTCCCTAAAGTTAAAAGGAAGCTTAAACTTAATTGAAGACACCTCATGCTGGGCGAGAGATCTTCATTATGATACTCTTCCTGAGTGTGTGTGTGTGTGTCATTGTGTGTGTGAATGTGTGCATCTGCGGTGCCGAGCTGGATAGGCGCTAATGAACGATCCCCCTACTACATTGGGGGGGCCGCTCGCCATCACCGCTCGCTGCTGCATTCACCCCGCAGTCAGTAGAGTGGCATTATGGTCTGTTTTATGCTTGCTCGCAGTATTCCATTAGGGAGATTGATGCCTGGCGCTCTGTCACGAAGGAGGACGTGCCTCTACCTCCTCCTCTCGTCCCGCCACAGACTTAATAAATTAGTTCATTAGTTCCGCTGCAACGGTTGGCTTAGCCTCCGCCGCTCCTACACTCAGTCACACAGCTCTTGGACCCATTTTTGTCCCTCTACTTTCTGACTGTCATGTGTTGAGGGAGGGCGTGATGGGTCACTGTTCTGAGGGAGTGGCACTGCCAAGAGTGGCGCGGGAAAATCTCAGTGATCTCATGCATGCTCACCTCAAAGGGTGCCACCTGGGTCTAGATAGTTACTAAGTGCAATTGCACATCTACTTTGGCAATTATTACATGTGTGTTTCATGCCATTAACCTTTTCACGTGTGAGTTCCAAATATCTCTAACGGTCACCCCAGCGTGAGTTTTTTTATGCGTGTGATGTCAGAATGCACTCACTGTTCCAAAATGTGATTGTTACGCAACAGGACAGTTAACCCGCGCTGCCCTCAAACCAAGGCACGCTGACTGCTAATTACCTATAGTCTGTTTCAACTTGTCAATTTCAAATTATTTTCTAACAAGTTTTATTTTCTAACAACAGTTTGAATTGAGGTGTGTTCCGCCTCCTCATTAATTCACATAAGAAGTAGCCCATTTCACTGTTGCTGACAATTTATGTTTGAGATTTACAGAGCCGGACAAACTTCTCTCTTCAACAAGAGCCCTTCCCCAGTGTTTCCCCAAATCAAGTATGAAGACATTGCACATCTCTAGTCAGAACAGGCCTTGCACAAACGATTCCCCCTTGGCACTGTTTCTGGCTGGCGCCCGCATTGCCTTCATTGTTGTTTCCTCACAAATAATAACTTTGGACATGTGTGCGTTCCTATCAAAGTAAGTGCCTTATTTTCTGTATATCGTGTTGTCGTTCCTACTGCAGCATACTGTATGTATGGATCATAATGTATTTACTGTTTTATTCACGTTTTCAAGTACTGGTGACAAATCATGCATTCCGATTCTTGCAAGATTGTAATGGACACATATGATGTGTGTAAAATACTTTTTGATGGTTGTACTGATTATGATGAGCTAATGCTAGGCTATTTGCCAGCTATGTGTGGCACCATGTTTGTTGACATCATACAATGCATTCTGTTTGTCACGTAAGCGTCTGTCAGACCAAAGATGTTATAAAAAAACGAGGTGAAGGCATAGTTCACGCGACTGACTTATGGTGCTTTCAAGACAACTGGGAACTGGGAAAAATACGAGGTCAAATCATGACGTCAGTGATCTTCAGGTCGGAAAGTCGGAGCTCTAGAAAGAGGCCTGAGTTCCCGAGTTGGAATTCCTAGTTGGATGACCGTTAAAAAAAAAAATCCCAGTCGGAGCTCGTTGTTTTCAGAGTTCCCAGTTGTCTTGAACGCACTGAAGTCGGAAGTTGGAGATTTCCGAGTTCCCAGTTCCCAGTTCTTTTGAACGCGGCATCAGATTGTAACTATGGTACCTCAGGGTTGCCAGCTCAGACCCCCCCTTTCCAGGGGTTTTATTTGATTTATCCTGTGTTTGCACCCCATTTATTGATAAATCCCCCATCATAGTAATATTTCCTGCATCATATCTCCGCACAATACCTTCCCCCATTTCTACCTCCCATGGACTTCAAAACCCCCCCACAAATGACATGAACCCCCCCACAAACCCCCCTAAAATGGTTTCATCCCTGTCTAGCTTTCGCGCTACGGTTAGGCTAGGCAGTAGGCTTATATTTGGGGTGATGATCTGTGAGGTGATAACATTTGATTTGTGAAAAACTGTAAACGACTTGTCAAGTCATGTGCTCCGGTTCTTGTATACACTGTAACAAGTATATCGAAGATTTGTAAAATGCTGAAAAGTGGCCAAACTAAGTTCATATTTTTCAGCCAATGGGCGCAGCCATCTTTGACTTCGTTTATTTGCATCTTATAGTGAATGGTATTCTGGGATTATGGAGTTTTCACTTGTCAAACATAAACAAACAGAATTTAGCTGCTGTTAGCTTAGCTGACACAGCTATTTTCTAAACAATATTACATTTCTCCCTTGTGCTCACGAGAGATGTGGTACATTGTAAACAAGTCGCTAACTTATGTTTTGTTTTTTGTCAGCGCAACCTGTTATGTAAACTGGTTTATGGAATGAGTTTGGCTGTGGATGTGTTCCGTGTGATGTTTGGATGTGTTCTGTAGCTCAATTGGTAGAGCATGGCGCTTGTAACGCCAGGGTAGTGGGTTCGATCCCTGGGACCACCCATACGTACAAAATTATACACACATGACTGTAAGTCACTTTGGATAAAAGCGTCTGCTAAATAGCATATTATTTATTTATTATTTATGATGAAGTTTGCATTTATCTTTTACAGTAAAAGGTGAAATTGAGGAATAAAGTTGTGAAGACCATTATTTCTCATCAGTACACAACAATGCTGTTTAGATGCGTTTGTTGCATCAAACGTTCTGTTGCTACTGTTTCCAATCACATATTTGCAATGGTACGCTGCAGGGACCACTCAACAATGATCACAAATATGTGACCGTACACGTCAAAGGGTTAAAGAACCATTGGATTGAATTGAACTGTGTTCTGAAATGAGATGGTGAGATCTTTAGCTTTAATCTTATTATTAAAGAGTATTTGAGGAAGCAGTTTTTTCACCAGGAATGATGTGTGTGTGTGTGTGTGTGTGTGTGTGTGTGTGTGTGTGTGTGTGTGTGGTTGGATAAATAATGCAGCAGGATATCCTCATACTAATTAGCCTTTCTGGGGGGCAGGCAACTCTGTTGTGATTAATCTAGCATTTGTTAAAAAGGGAAAACAGAAACAGTGTTCAACAATGGAATATTACAAGTCAGCAGCTTTGTGTGTGTGGTTGTGATGCTTTGCATGTGCAAATGAGTTGTATTGGTTTTAGAAATAATAATAAAAAGACGTTTTTTTATTAACTTCCATTGTCCTCAATTCATGCACCTTGGTTAAAGAGTGAGGTAGCGGCTGTGCTCCATTTTCTTTGTGTGTATACTGTTCAGATGTGCAAACTTGTGTGTGTGTATACTGTATCTGTGCAGGCATGTGTGTTTTTGTTCTCAGACTGTACTTACACTCTATATCGAGGAACATGCTCTTTTGGTGGCCCCCGATCCTGCTGAGGGCCTCACAGTCAAAACGGCCCAAATCAGTTAGCTTCACCCCACTGATGGTCAACATGGACTTGCCATGGCGGCCCCGCACGTCCACACGCCCATCCTGGCTCTGTGCACACAAACATGCATGAGCACACGCATGCACACACACACACATGCGCACGCACACACACGCACACACCACACACACATGAATGGATCGTGAATGTATTTCATACAGTACATCTCGTGAAGAATTTGCTTTATCCACTCCATCCATCCACACACACAAATACACTTTTTTTTCTGTTGACCTTTTACTCCATAACAACCTCACACACCTTCAAAACTGTTAAACCCCCTCTGACACTCAGTCAAACCAAGTATCTGATGTAAAATCCGTTTTACGCCTCTGGCTAGGATTAATGTGATTGACTATCAATTGATTTGCAATAATTAGATAGAGAACTGTGAAGACAGATGGTCTCAATTTGAAGCCAAGGGTCAATTAGATTGGCAGCAGCAATCATTCCTTATAATCATCAATGATGCTTAACAAAGACAAACTATCTCAGGGTGATCATCACTTAGAAAGGAGATCTTTTGGGTTCTTCAAATACTTTGAGAGTTTGATCAAGCCTGTCTGGAGTGCCAGATGGGCGGGATTTGCACTTTTGAGACTACTCCAATGGTTATTTTAATATTTGAAAGAAAACAAATATTATTTGAACACGTCTGCTAGCTGGGCGGACTCCCTAAACAGATAGTGACTGCCATTGATTAATCAAGTGCTAGGGTTAGAAACCAGCACTCAGAAGACTGCAGTCGTAACCCACAGAGTTCCCATGCCAGGTCTAATTTGGCCTATAGATATCTCTCCCCCCTCTGGGACCTGTCTCTGTGTCATTTTCCTCCCTTCTCTTTTAGTCTTGACACTCTTTCAGACTGACACATTCTCTTGCAGTTATTTCAGCTCACACAGTCTCTCGCTACTGCCAGGTTAGAGAGGCCTAAAGGTTAAAGAGGCCTCCCTTTTTAGGAGTGATAAAGGGTATAATAAAGTTGGTTTGATTTCGGGTGAATCGTCACTTGTGTAGATTAAAGTTGGTTTGATCCTGGTTTTACCTTGAACATGATTATTTTTAATAAAATTGTGGTTGGCTATGAAAGTGGTGCTTTCAGTAGCATGGTCACAGTGTGCTCCCTCACCTATACAGCAGGTTCCCTACACATTCCATTTGAACAATTCAGGAGTGGAACTGGACATTGAATTTGGAGTGAATAGAAATGCTGTCAAATAAACAGGGGGGCAGAAAGCAAAGCAAATCTGCCAGAGGAAGAGAATGCTGACTCTGGGCTTTGTGCATTCTCTCTCTCGCTCTCCCTCTTGCTCTCTCTCCTAGAATTGGGTTATTTATTCCCAGGTTCCCCTGGCATAGGAAGGGATGCTCTCTCTAGGGAGAAGGAGGGAGGCGATGGGGGGAGGAAAGGGAGGAGGGCGAGAGAGAGGGCAGGAGGGAGTGAGACACTAGCCTGTTTGATATGCAGTGCAGAGGAGCTGACATGGACAGGAGGCACTGCAGGAGCACACACTCAGACACAGACAGACACAGACAGACAGACAGAGAGAGAGAGAGAGAGAGAGAGAGAGAGAGAGAGAGAGAGAGAGAGAGAGAGAGAGAGAGAGAGAGAGAGAGAGAGAGAGAGTATGAGACAGCAAGCCCACATAGCAAGAAAGAGACAGAGATGAAAACAGAGAGATAGGTAGAGAGAGGAGAAAAAGAGAGAAAAATAGAGAGAGAGAGAGAGAGAGAGAGAGAGAAAGAGAGAGAGATGGAGAAAAAGAGAGAGAGGTAAAGGTAGGTGGAAGATGAGAGATGGAGAGCAGATCAGTGGAAGCCCTCTCCTATCTGATGTGATGAAACTGGATATGCCCTCCCACACCCTGCAATGATCACACATGATTTTAAAAAAGATATCTCCAAAGCTGAACTCCATACGAACTTCTCAGATGGTATTAGTACTGGCTCTGGATCAGTTAAAACAAGATGCCACATCTTTCCTTATCCTCTTTCTTCAGTAAAGATATAGTGGCTGTTGCTGTTGCCCTTGGGAGTGTCGGCTCACTGTAAGACCTTATTAAGCTGCCGTGAATGGGGAGCTGCTGTGGCTCGCTGCTGCGTCTAGCATAACCTCGCCAGTGGCATTGAGAAGAGAAAACAGGTGAACAGAAACCCACAATGCTCTGTTACTATGTATCATTGACTTTCAGCCAGGGTACAATGTTTCTCAGCAGGTTTGCTGGGTTTGTATGTGCTTCAATGAGAAACAAATACGCTAGCTGGCTAGCGAAGGCGAAAAGGAAACAAAACAAAACAAAACAATGCTCTTGCTACATTACCCCGACGTAAAAGTAGTTGCGTTACGCTTTATGGTACTGGATAAGAGAATAAGAGAATAGAGACTAGCATGCTGGCTGTGTCTGGATATGCAGATGTAAATTGAGAGAAGAAGCAACTAGCTTTACACCTAAATGACCATGGCCATCCATCAAGGCAGCAGTATACACAAAGCCCTGTTTGTTCTTTCCCATACATTTAGGTGTGTTGCTCAGCGCTCACATAATTGCATTTGCCTCGGTGCGCAAAGACGCATTTACTCTCTTTCGGCACCGTGATTTATCAAGCCGAGCAGTTTGAGCCAACGCACACATTCATTTATCTCAGCCATTGACCTTTTTTCCATAGAAAGCGGCAGCCATCTTTGCTAATGCAGCGTCTCTTGAAAAGCATTAGTGCTCGGCGGCTACTGAGACAATGACAGACAAACACACGGTAGCTGTCTGTTTCCTCTTAGCCATGTTGAGAGCATTTCTTTAACCTTTGTCCGTTGAGGCACTATGACTCACAATGTATGCTCAGAGAATCTCAGATTAATGGTCTTTATTGAAAACATCCTAGTCGTATACAACATGTTTTTATTTCGATTGAGTCATCAATGGCATCCAACCTTGATACACTGAGTATAACTTAGCTTACCCTATGGCTTAAATGTATCTCTTTGTTTAGTAACACAATTAATAATATTTTACTTCACATATACCTTAGGAAGGAGATGTTGGAATTACTAGGCCCACAAAATGTTTATACAATATTTTTTCTCAGTGCTGAGAATTACTCTATGATGCAGTCACAGCCATCCTCAAAGGTGAGCATTCTCCTCAGACATGTTCTTTGTTAATACCGGCCATCTGGTTTGCGCATGTGTGTCTGCGCAAGAAATAAGTGGTGAGAGAGGGTTGAGGACGGTACTTTGTGTGACTGTAGGCAGTATGCAGTGAGCGGAGGGTGGACAGTAAAAGCAGGGACAACGGGGTTACCTTGTGTGTGTGTGTGTGTGTGTGTGTGTGTGTGTGTGTGTGTGTGTGTGTGTGTGTGTGTGCACTCAAGCGTGCCTGCGTGTGTGCGAGCGTGTGTGTGCTTGCTTGCATGTGACTGTGTGTGTCTAGAGAGGGGGAAACGGGTACCAGTAGAGTGCAACAGTAGGCAGCATATAGTGAACAGGGGGGCTGACAGTAAGAGCAGGGGACAGCCCAGCGTTACCTTGTCTCTGTCGGCGAAGCTCCGACCGTCGCTGGCTCTCCTCCAGGAGATCTCAGGCAGCGGCTCCCCCTCGGCCACGCAGGAGATCATGGCGGCGCTGCCCTCTACCGCCGTCACGTTACGCAGCTGGGTAATGTGTGGCTGGACTGGAGGGACAGAGAGAGAAAGAGATTGAAAGAGAGGGAGGGAGGGAGAAGGGGGGAGAGAGTCCAAGATAGATAAAGGAGAGAGAGAGAGAGAGAGAGAGATGGAGGAAGGGATGAAAGAGATAAAGAGAGAGCGATAGGGAGGAAGAGAAAGACAATAATTTAAGACAGGACACGCCTAAGGCTAACACCATGTATTGGGGGATGGACGACATTGGGCTTGATTATTAATGCCAGCCATAAGATCTAAATCTACTGTTCATACTTCTCTAGGCTATAAACTGTGCAGTCCTTGGTACATTTGAGTCCACTGTCCACACCGTGCCCAGACAGACAACCAGGACTTTAAGTCTCCCTACTCCCTCAAAACCTCTTTCTCACGATACCTTTACTCCTCCTCTTTCTCTTCAACAGAAGTTTCTTCCTCTTTCATATATTCTTTAATATACTGTCTATTTTATTCCTTCTTTCTGTGGATTCCTCTGGCTTCTTAACAGACACAGCATTATGCTGGCTGGCTGCCGGTGGGGGTGTTTAGCGACGAGACACGCGGTGTACAGACAAACCCTTTTTTGATGCTGAGCGCCTCTGATAAAAAAACATTAAGGAGCGGGGCACCGCGGCTGTGGCGTCGAGGCCCGCTCACCATTTGTCTCTGGCGAATAAGCCACTCTCAGACACGGCTGTCTAAGCTAGAGCCTGAACGCCACACGTGTCATGGGCAAATAGTGTGCACTATAAATCATGTATTTTTTTTAAAATGACACCCTGTAAAAGTAAAGTAGAGACGGCTGTAAAGCTGTGAAGAAATGGAAGTGAATGGAGAAATAGGCCTAAAGTGTGTCTGGATTTTAAGGCTTTCTTGGCGAGATCAAGAAGTCATTTGTAATTTCACACAGAGTGAACCTTAGGGTGGATGAGCCATCTGAGGGGATTTGGAGCTTTTCACATAACGGGGTCATACACACACATATGCCTAAATGCACCAACACACACACACACACACACACATACAAACACACACACACACACACAAACACAAAATCAATGACTTTCTTTAGGCCTTTGGCCTACATAGTTAAATTTGCTTTGTCCTTGAAGCCAAAAATGTAAACATAAACAATTATCTTTCGACAGAAATAATGAGGCACTAATATTTTGGTGGAGACCGGCCTCAAGTACTACACCGCTTCTCTATTTACACCCAGAGGCCCTAGTGGGAACCAAGCAGCGATACACAGATGAGCCCTATGATTCATACAATAACTCCTTAACCCGCTTAAGCTTCTGAACAACAGGTACAAGAAATGGTCAATTCGGTTCAAGTGTGTCTTCTCCTTTATAGATGAATAAATGATCAGTGGAGCAAGCTGAAGATTAAAAGATATTAAGCGACTCTTGGTAGCACAATGGAAGTTTGTTTTATTGTTAAAATCTACGCGTTTAGCCAATACCTTCATCAAGGTCTTCTCTTATACACATTATTATGTAAAATAAGCTTTTGCTTCAAGTTTTTTAACATGTAGATTAGATTCCCATTTCAATATAGCCTATGTATATTGATATTTCATGGTAGACCCTATGTTGGCCAGCGCAGCTCGCTGCGGGGGACACCAACCGCAAGAGGCCACAAATTCAACCCTGTGAAACACCAAGAAATGTGGCATAAACTCTTAATGACAAATCCCTCTCTTCTCTTTATCCCCTGCTCTTTCAACTGTCAGGGGTAATAAAACTATCTTACAACTGTGTTTCCCCGCCGCACTTTGCAAAACAAAACTCAAGCCCTCCACTAACTTCTTCATTTAAATGTGCATTTTGAAGAACAACCGGAGCCTGGGCCTTGAAAGGATCTTGATGACTAGAGCATAAATCTCCATACATTTTCATAAAGAGGAAAGAGCTCCATCAGAATAATCAGGGAGGAAATATGCTGGCAGCTTTATTAAAATATACATTGAAACTTTTATGAACAGGGTGTCACCGATTGTAAAATAAATTAGATATATTTTTTCCCTCCGGAATTGTATTAGATTCAAGTTGTTGGATGATTGGTTGAGGTAGTGGCGACTGTATAGCGAACGTTTTCCACTGAAATAATATTTTCCCTTGGTGAATAGGAATTGGCTGTTTGTAACGCTCAAGACGAAACACCTTATATTCAAATCCATATTAATATTCATAGACACACATGAGGTCGCATAAGGTCAAGGACTGTACACTCTCTAGAAACATCCAGTAATACCACAGATATTGAGCCAGATATTTCACTGGATGTATAAGTGTGAAGCATCTGGTTGGCGTTTCCACTCACTACCAAATACGGTGATGAGAGGAAGCCCAGTGGCCGGCATTGGGAGAAGATGGAGCGAGATGGATTTTGGTCGACATTATTCAAATGTTCTCATCAATAAAACATTTGATCTCAACACAGTTTTCTGTTCCCAAAACTAAAATCTGTTACGAACAGAGTGGACTACGTTTTGTAGATATTTCAATGGAAATATGAAAATACATTGTAGAACGCGCCAATAGGATCTCACTTGCTCATGCTTGGCTCTGCCCACTATGACTCATTTGTTCCTATTGGAAACGACAGGCTGTGGTCTATCTTGGGCTAGTTATAATACTCAGGAATATGTAGCTTATGTTGGAATATGTTCCTTATAATGCACAGGAAACATGTAGATTCCTATAGTGCCTGCTGCCTATGGCGGAATTTGCAGTTTGTGGCTCTCAAGACCCAGTGTCTTTCATTCCAATCCATATGGATTTCTATTTATAGAGAGACACACATAAGGTCAAAGACTATAGACTCTCTAGGAACATACAGGAATACACAGTAAACATGTTAAAAGCTTTCTATAGTGCCTACTGTTTATAGACATCTAAAGAAAAATTATTGAAAAGTAAATGGGTATGCTATAATGACATCAATTCTTGGTCCAATTCTGGTTTTCTGGTCGAAGCAACATCAAATATCCAGATAAAATCCAGGTATCAATGTGTTTTTCATGATGACATCAAGACGGCTGCGAAGGACATTATATTTTGGTTGTAATTATTAAATGCGACTTGAGACCATTTTACATGTTTACTTAAATTTGAGAATGTCATAACATAAGTATGGATGCCCACGAGGGACATGCTGCTACACTCACCGAATACTTTGAGGAAGAGCTCCCTCTCCTCCGCCCCGGCCTTGTTGGTGGCTCGGCAGGTATAGTCGCCCCCGTCCCCCTGGATGATGTTACGGATGGTCAGGGTACTCCTGCCTCCCTCCAGGGTGTTGAGGACATACTGATCCGACCTCTCCAACTGCTGGCCCTTCCTGTGTACAGAGAGATAGTACAGGTAGAGATGATGAATTCGTACAATACACATAAAAACATATAGGCTAGAGGTGCACAACCAATTCAATTACACACACATGCAAACAGAGATAAAACATGTACAGTGGGGAAAAAAAGTATTTAGTCAGCCACCAATTGTGCAAGTTCTCCCACTTAAAAAGATGAGAGAGGTCTATAAATTTCAACATAGGTACACGTCAACTATGACAGACAAAATGAGAATTTTTTTCTCCAGAAAATCACATTGTAGGATTTTTTAAGAATTTATTTGCAAATTATGGTGGAAAATAAGTATTTGGTCAATAACAAAAGTTTCTCAATACTTTGTTATATACCCTTTGTTGGCAATGACACAGGTCAAACGTTTTCTGTAAGTCTTCACAAGGTTTTCACACAATGTTGCTGTTTTTTTGGCCCAATCCTCCATGCAGATCTCCTCTAGAGCAGTGATGTTTTGGGCCTGTCGCTGGGCAACACGGACTTTCAACTCCCTCCAAAGATTTTCTATGGGGTTGAGATCTGGAGACTGGCTAGGCCACTCCAGGACCTTGAAATGCTTCTTACGAAGCCACTCCTTCGATGCCCGAGCGGTGTGTTTGGGATCATTGTCATGCTGAAAGACCCAGCCACGTTTCATCTTCAATGCCCTTGCTGATGGAAGGAGGTTTTCACTCAAAATCTCACGATACATGGCCCCATTCATTCTTTCCTTTACACGGATCAGTCGTCCTGGTCCCTTTGCAGAAAAACAGCCCCAAAGCATGATGTTTCCACCCCCATGCTTCACAGTAGGTATGGTGTTCTTTGGATGCAACTCAGCATTCTTTGTCCTCCAAACACGACGAGTTGAGTTTTTATCAAAAAGTTCTATTTTGGTTTCATCTGACCATATGACATTCTCCCAATCCTCTTCTGGATCATCCAAATGCACTCTAGCAAACTTCAGACGGGCCTGGACATGTACTGGCTTAAGCAGGGGGACACGTCTGGCACTGCAGGATTTGAGTCCCTGGCGGCGTAGTGTGTTACTGATGGTAGGCTTTGTTACTTTGGTCCCAGCTCTCTGCAGGTCATTCACTAGGTCCCCCCGTGTGGTTCTGGGATTTTTGCTCACCGTTCTTGTGATCATTTTGACCCCACGGGGTGAGATCTTGCGTGGAGCCCCAGATCGAGGGAGATTATCAGTGGTCTTGTATGTCTTCCATTTCCTAATAATTGCTCCCACAGTTGATTTCTTCAAACCAAGCTGCTTACCTATTGCAGATTCAGTCTTCCCAGCCTGGTGCAGGTCTACAATTTTGTTTCTGGTGTCCTTTGACAGCTCTTTGGTCTTGGCCATAGTGGAGTTTGGAGTGTGACTGTTTGAGGTTGTGGACAGGTGTCTTTTATACTGATAACAAGTTCAAACAGGTGCCATTCATACAGGTAACGAGTGGAGGACAGAGGGGCCTCTTAAAGAAGAAGTTACAGGTCTGTGAGAGCCAGAAATCTTGCTTGTTTGTAGGTGACCAAATACTTATTTTCAACCATAATTTGCAAATAAATTAATAAAAAATCCTACAATGTGATTTTCTGGAGAAAAAAAATCTGAATTTGTCTGTCATAGTTGACGTGTACCTATGATGAAAATTACAGGCCTCTCTCATCTTTTTAAGTGGGAGAACTTGCACAATTGGTGGCTGACTAAATTTTTTTTTCCCCTCTATGCATGCACACAGACACAAAAGACAAACGTATGCACACACACACACATACACACACACACGCACACAGACAAGACACACACACATCCCCCTTCCACCACCACAACCACCTTCACCCTGATACGATAAACATACAATAGCTCTACTGCATTTAGAAATAAATGGTTTATCACACATATACATCCCCCACCCCCACACACATTACAATGGTGTTAAAACTCTGTCTCTAAAGGAAAGAGAAAGTGAGAGAGAAGGAGGATAATTGAAAGGGGACTGGGAGAAACACTGAGGCAGAGTAATAAGGCTGGAAGGAGTCAGGGAGGAAATGAAGAACAGTGTGTGTGTGTGTGTGTGTGTGTGTGTGTGTGTGTGCGTGCGTGTACGTCCAAGCTGGTCTGGGGAGCGGGCAGCGCACTAGGCACAGGAAATTACTCTGACTTTATCGGAGTCTATGACTGACTGAAAGGCACAGCCAGCCAGCCAGGTGGAAACACAACACAACAGGAAATATAACTGTGGGAGGAAGGGGAAGGAGGGTGTGTGAGCAAGAGAAGATGAGAAAGAAAGAGGTGTGCTCTAGCTCTTTAATACCAGAATGGGGGGGGGGGGGGGGGGGGGGGGGGGGGTATGGTTATGGTGGCCCAGTGGTCAGATTGCAGTTGATCATGATGAAGAGGTCACAATGGTCATAGTGGAGTTGTAGTCAGAGTTGAGTTGTGGTCAGTGATGACATGTGGTCAGTGTGTGGAGTGATGGTAAAAGGGTGAAGCTGCAGTCAGGGTGGAGATATGGTCAGGGTAGAGTTGTGGTCAGTGTGGAGCAGTGCGCAAGGTGAAACAGAGAGGGCAGTACACTCTTAGACAAAAAGGTTCCAAAAGGGTTCTTCGGCTGTCCCCATAGGAGAACCATTTTGGTTCCAGTTAGAAACCTTTTGGTTCCAGGTAGAACCCATTTTGGTTCCATGGTTTTGGTTCCAGGGTTCTACATGGAGCCCAAAAGGGTTCTACCTGGAACCAAAAGGGTCCTTCAAAGGGGGGACAGCCGAAGAACCCTTTAATGTTCTAGATAGCACCTTTATTTCTAAGTGTATGGTGATGTGGTCACATGCGGTCACAGTACAGAGTCAAGCTTGGCAGTCAGGATGGTTAACAACCAGAGCTTTCTAAACCATTTATTTGAAAGTCTACATGGAGCAATTATGCAAGCCAGTGGTGCAAGGCGAGGCACATCAAGATATAATTTTCACAGGATAAACATAGATTTAACATTTCAATTGCTTTCTGTAATTATACGGCCAATTATAACTCCATCTCTCCCATTGATAGAAAAGCTATTACAAAAGTGAATTTGAGGCGGGGGAACAAAAACATTGTCAGTCAAAATCCTTCCCACAGCCAATACAAAAACTGTTCTATTTGGAACCACTCCAAAGGTTATATGCATGACACAGTTTAGACTTTTCTTCTGAAAGTTGAATATGAACTTTGACATGTACACAACATTTATGAATTCCTCCCACACAACTGTATTAGCGTTTGATAGAGCAGCATATATATATGAAAGTACATTTGGGACACCTCCTTGAGTTTCCCAAATCTCTCCTCAAGTATCTCTAGCCACTCCACTTTTTACATCTATTACAGTACTAGCTCACATGAACTAATCAAAGGCTTGATGATTAGTTGACCAGAAGAATCCGGTGTGCTAGCACTGGAATATACAAAAGAACGGGAAAGGCTGGGGGGTTTCACAAAAGAGAGGTTGTGTTCATTAGGGCATACATTGAAAAGTGTTTTAAAGCATTTTGCAATGGAGAAGAAATCTGCATATCTCATTGGACAAGCGCAAGTTGTTCATCCATGTTTCAGACTGTTTTCTTCTGTTTGGTGCCTAATGAACACAACCCTGTTATTATAGCTTCTAAGAGCATGCTAATGAGTGTGTCACTCAGGTTAAGGATATATGCAACAGATGTTGTATGAATGAATGAGTGTGTTAGATGTAACATATGTTACTGATGCAGGTGTGACTAATGTGACACACGGTACAGGTGGCGGCACACTCTTGAAGGACATGTCACAGTGTCAACGCGATGTCATCATTTACAGTGTCTGTCGACAGCACTGGCTTGTGAAGAAAGAGTGTGTGTGTGTGTGTGTGTGTCATTTAGAACATTGGGACATTGAAGGAGGCACTAGTCTGTAACAATGATAGATAAACCAGACTACAGTTGGTGACATCGCCATAATATAAATCAAAACCTACCCCAAATGTGGTTGAGCTAGTGGTCTGGTTGGCTAATAGTTTTGTCAAAGAATGGGTGGATTACATTTGGTTTACCAAGCCACAAGCGTATAGAAGTTTCGATGTATGAATAGGACACATTAATCATGTTTATTAGGTCACAAGGTAGCAAAACATTTTGCAATGGAAAACGAAAACGAGCGTTTCTTTTTGAAGTTCAGGTAGTGCCTCCCCTGTATTCTTCAGTTTTGTGCTTAATGAACACAACCATGACTTAGTATGTAGGGGGGCTAACTGTACCTGTGCCAGGTGACCTCGGGGTCGGGGGATCCCGATGTGACGCAGGTGAAAGTCACTGACTCCTGGTAGTCTGCTGTGGCATTGAATGACTGCTGTAGTACCGACAGCACAGGAGGAACTAGAGAAACAAGACAAGGATTACAGTTAGTGGTGAGGAGAACTTAATCAAATTACACATAGGAGAGCAAAACAGTGCCAGTGAAACAATATGCACACAGACAACTAGCATTGTCATCTTCCCACCCCCTCTTCAAACGAAGATTGTTGTGACTTAAGAACAAGGCAGATCAACACGAATTTCAGCCGTGCACAGTGGTTGTGCAGAGAGTGGTCGTCCTATTGCTTCTGACCATAGAATATCAGATGTCATTTTTTTCCAATTTCCAAACGATTCTACATGTTGAATCGCCACCGTTCATCAACACCAAGTGATTTACTGTGCACGGCCAATGTTCGTGTTGGACTGTCTTGTCCTTAATATAGGGGAAATAGGGACACTGTAATGTCACTGTGCATTCTTCCAAGGGACAGGTAGACAGGTAACCAGGCTAGCAATGGTGGCTAGCATTTAGCCTGTCATCCTAGCTAGTTAACCAGGCTAACGTTGAGCTAGCATTTAGCCTGTCATCCTAGCCTAGCTGGTTAACCAGGCTAATAGTGGTAGCTAGCATGTAGCAAGTCAACCAAGCCTAGCTGTTTATCCAGGCTAAGAATGGTAGGTAGCATTTAGCCTGTGATCCTAACTGGTTAACCAGGCTAACAGCAGTAGCTAGCATTTAGCCTGTCGTCCTAGACATAGCTGGTTAGCCTGGCTGACAGCAGTAGCTAGCATTTAGCCTGTCATCCTAGACCTAGCTGGTTAGCCTGTATGAAAGCAGTAGCTGTATTCTTCCCTATTCAACCAGGACACTGTGTGTAGCCAGAACGTCCAGACAGATCCATCATGGGGGACAATTACCCAAGGAACGATAAGAAAAGAACAGAGCAAAACATCTCGTCGAGAAGTTGTCTTCCACACACATATACAGATGGATTTTGAGGTGTTACTGTCCTGTACATAGCCAATGAAATGTGTCACTGCCATACTGCCATGCAATCAACATGAGCTGTCATCTCGTAGCAGTGAAAGGAGAGCTATCCCAGACTGCTGGCTGATAGTCAGCCTACTGACAGGCCGGTGACAGCTCTATATTACAACTGTGTTTATCTGTTCTCACTCTCTGACTGCACAGTCCTTTTTTCTGTCCCCTCCGTCTACTCTCAATCACTCTCTGTATGTCTCTCGCTCTCTCTTCCACTCTCAGTCGAGGATGCAGTTGCACATGTGAACATACAGGCCTGCCTAAACAGACACATACACATGCATGCATGCACACACACACAACCCCCCACACACATCCACACACTCACTCATTATTATTCACGATTCACTCAGGATTATCTGTAATCATGGTAGCATCCTCATTAATTTAGAAGTGTTTAGAAACATTCTATTCTTATTTACAATAAAAGTACATTTACCATTAACTTCTATTGGGCACATAAGTCGGAAGTTTACAAACATTTAGGTTGGAGTTTTTCAACACTCCACAAATTTCTTTTTAACAAACTATAGTCTTGGCAAGTCGGTTAGGACATCTACTTTGTGCATGACACAAGTAATTTTTCCAACAATTGTTTACAGACAGATTATTTCACTTATAATTCACTGTATCACAATTCCAGTGGTTCAGAAATGTTACATACACTAAGTTGACTGTGCCTTTAAACAGCTTGGAAATATTCCAGAAAATGATGTCATGACTTTAGAAGCTTCTGATAGGCTAATTGACACCATGTGAGTGAATTGGAGGTGTACCTGTGGATGTATTTCAAGGCCTACCGTCAAACTCAGTGCCTCTTGCTTGACATCATGGGAAAATCAAAAGAAATCAGCCAAGACCTCAGAAAAAAATTGTAGACCTCCACAAGTCTGGTTCATCCTTGGGAGTAATTTCCAAATGCCTGAAGGTACCACATTCATCTGTACAAACAATAGTACGCAAGTATAAACACCATGGGACCACGCAGCCATCATACCACTCAGGAAGGAGCGCGTGTTCTGTCTCCTAGAGATGAATGTACTTTGGTGCGAAAAGTGCAAATCAATCCCAGAACAACAGCAAAGGACCTTGTGAAGATACTGGAGGAAACAGGTACAAAAGTATCTATATCCACAGTAAAATGAGTCCTATATCGACATAACCTGAAAGGCCACTCAGCAAGGAAGAAGCCACTGCTCCAAAACCGCCATAAAAAAGCCAGACTACGGTTTGCAACAAAGTTCATACTTTTTGGAGAAATGTCCTCTGTTCTGATGAAAAAATAATGTAACTGTTTGGCCAGTATGGAAAATGTATGCACTCACTAACTGTAAGTCGCTCTGGATAAGAGTGTCTGCTAAATGAAAGTGTAAAGTGTATAATGACCATCGTTATGTTTGGAGGAAAAAGGGGGAAGCTTGCAAGCTGAAGAACACCATTCCCACCCGTGAAGCACAGGGGTGGCAGCATCATGCTGTGGGGGTGCTTTGCTGCAGGAGGGACTGGTGCACTTCACAAAATCGATGGCATCATGAGGAAGGAGAATTATGTGGATATATTGAAGCAACATCTCAAGACATCAGTCAGAAAGTTAAAGCTTGTTCGCAAATGGGTCTTCCAAATGGACAATGACCCCAAGCATACTTCCAAAGTTGTGACAAAATGGCTTAAGGACAACAAAGCCAAGGTATTGGAGTGGAGGCCTACAAACCTGACTCAGTTACACCAGCTCTGTCAGGAGGAATGGGCCAAAATTCACCCAACTTATTGTGGGAAGCTTGTGGAAGGCTACCCAAAATATTTGACCTAAGTTAAACAATTTAAAGACAATGCTACCAAATACTAATTGAGTGTATGTAAACTTCTGACCCACTGGGAATGTAATGAATGCAATAAAAGCTGAAATAAATCATTTGCTCTACTATTATTCGGACATTTCACATTCTTAAAATAAAGTGGTTGTCACACCCTGGCTCGGGGACTCAATATGTTGAGCCAGGGTGTGTTCATTCTATGTTTTCTGTTTCTCTGGTGGGTGTTCTAGGTTGTCATTTCTATGTTTGCCGGTGTGACTCCCAATCAGAGGCAAACGAGTGTCAGCTGTCGGCTGTTTGTCTCTGATTGGGAGCCATATTTAATCTGTCTGTTTTTCTTTCGGGTTGTGGGATTTTGTTCGTGTGGTTTCGTGTTGTACCCTAGACGTCACGCTTTCGTTGTTTATTGTTTTGTATTTTGAGTGTGGTGCTTTACTAATTAAAGTAAATATGTTCGCTCGCAACGCTGCGCCTTGGTCTCCCTCATTAGACGATCGTGACAGAAAATCCCACCAAGACCAGACCAAGCAGCGTGTCCAGGAGCCATCGCTAATAGATCTCCGTGGCAGCTTCGACTGGGTCAAGCCCATTGAGGAGCTGAGTGAAGAGGGTTGGAGACAGAGGAGCGAGAGGTGGGAGAGAATGTTGGAGGCCTGGTCCACGGGGAGGAGAGACCCCCAGAAAATTTTTAGGGAGGGGCTCACGACGTCGGGGCAGCAGGAGGCCGCTATGGAGCGGTCCAGCGGGGTTGCAGAGGAGGCCGCCAGGTTACGGGGGCCACTGGTAGAAGAGGGGATGGAAGGTGTAGAGGCACGGCGAGAGGTACTGGCGTGTGTTGCCAGTCCGGTCCGGCCCGTTCCAGATCCCGGTGTAGAGCCAGTGGTGTGTGTCCCCAGTACGGTCCGGTCTATTCCTGCTCCCCGCACCAAACCTACGGTGTGCGTCGACAGCCCAGCCCGGCCCGTTCCTGCGCTCCGCACCGAGTCTGTGGTGCGCGTCGCCAGCCCAGTCCGGCCCATCCAAGCTTCTCGCATAAAGCCTACGGTGTGCGTCGCCAGCCCAGCCCGGCCTGTTCCTGCTCCACGCACAAAGCCTACGGTGTGCGTCGCCAGCCCAGCCCGGCCTGTTCCTGCTCCACGCACAAAGCCTACGGTGTGCGTCGCCAGCCCAGCCCGGCCTGTTCCTGCTCCACGCACAAAGCCTACGGTGTGCGTCGCCAGCCCAGCCCGGCCTGTCCCTGCTCCACGCACAAAGCCTACGGGGTGCGTCGCCAGCCCAGCCCGGCCTGTCCCTGCTCCACGCACAAAGCCTACGGTGTGCGTCGCCAGCCCGACCCGGCCTGTTCCTGCCACTCGCACCAAGCCAGGAGTGCGAGTCGCCAGCCTGGTCCAGCCTGTTCCTGCCACTCGCACCAAGCCAGGGGTGCGAGTCGCCAGCCTGGTCCAACCCGTTCCTGCCACTCGCACCAAGCCAGGGGTGCGAGTCGTCAGCCTGGTTCAGCCCGTTCCTGCTACTCGCACCAAGCCAGGGGTACGAGTCGTCAGCCTGGTCCAGCCCGTTCCTGCTACTCGCACCAAGCCAGGGATGCGAGTCGTCAGCCCTGTCCGGCTCGTTCCTGCTCTCCGCACCAAGTCTGTGGTGCGCGTCGCCAGCCCATTCCGGTCCATTCCTGCTCCACGAACCAAGCCAGGGGTGTGTATCGTCAGCCCGGTCCGGTCCGTTCCTGTTCCACGCACCAGGCCAGGGGCGCGTGTCGTCAGTCCGGCTCCGGCCAGCGGGGCTAGACAGGACCAGGGGAACTTTGGGGGGTTGGAGAGGAAGTGGGGATCTAGCCCAGAGCCGGAGCCGCCGCCGAGGAATGCCCACCCAGCCCTCCCCTGTTTTTGCTCGTATTTAGGCGCGGTCGCAGTCCGCGCCTTTAGGGGGGGGTACTGTCACACCCTGGCTCGGGGACTCAATATGTTGAGCCAGGGTGTGTTCATTCTATGTTTTCTGTTTCTCTGGTGGGTGTTCTAGGTTGTCATTTCTATGTTTGCCGGTGTGACTCCCAATCAGAGGCAAACGAGTGTCAGCTGTCGGCTGTTTGTCTCTGATTGGGAGCCATATTTAATCTGTCTGTTTTTCTTTCGGGTTGTGGGATTTTGTTCGTGTGGTTTCGTGTTGTACCCTAGACGTCACGCTTTCGTTGTTTATTGTTTTGTATTTTGAGTGTGGTGCTTT